ATCAACAACATTCATCCAACCAAGTACCCTGAGATTTACAGCACAATTGAAAAGTTGGTCGAGACTACTCTTCCATTATGGAATCAATGTCTTGCTCTTAGTACAGATTACGATAAGAACCATGGTGCGGGAAGACTAGAGCCTCGGTTCTCATACCCTGATGACCGGGAGTAGGTGTTTCCCCAAATCCTTTCGGGATGAGTATCTCAATTCTGACTTGATTTCAGCGACGAAAATCCGGAGCTATGGAATCCTTCGAGCCCTGAGCAAGTTGTTAGCCAAAAGAAGTCCGGTCTCGGCACAGATGAGGAAGATGAAATAGACATCGAATGTATCGATAGTGAAATTGAAGATGAAGAAGCTGAAGAAAGATGGAGGGAGACACGCAAAGCCGTCATTCCAGAGCCTTTTTTCAAAGATGTTGACTACTCAATCAAGCTTCGCCTTGAACATCAATTTCAAGAGTCTGGTCTCCAAATTATCGTTAAGATGGCATCCATTGAACTTACTCCTGAAAAGCCTGAATTTCCGGCTGGTAGTTGGCATGTGAGTGAAACTCTTTCATTCAGAAAGATTCTAACGCTAATATAACTGAAGATCGAGGGACAAATGAATGAGCACATTGCTGGAACTGCGCTCTACTATCTTGATAGTGAGAATATCACTTCGAATGACCTCTCATTCCGTATGCAGACACCAGAGGAAATTGACGATGAACTCGGAACTGGACAATATTCCTATTCTTGGCTTGAGCAGGTCTTTGGAACCAATTTGGGGCAAAGTAATTCCCCGTGTCTTCAAAACTATGGTAGTGTCGAAACACGTCAGGGAAGACTACTTGCTTTTCCTAACGTCTTGTAAGTGAAAGTTTGGTTCATTAATTTCTGGGTGCTAACGAATGAAAAAGCCAACACAAAGTTTCGTCTTTTCGCTTAGAAGATCCGACCAAACCAGGTCATCGACGATTTATCGCCCTATGGCTCGTAGACCCCACCTTGCGTGTCATTTCAACCGCCAATGTCCCACCGCAACGACTGGATTGGTGGGTTGACTCTGTTTCTGGAACTACCCCCGCAGCTCGTAAAGCAACTATGTCGAAGCTTCCTGCGGAGTTAGTAATGCTCTTGAATGAGAATGGCTCGAATGCTGCTACTTCGGCAAAAGATATGAAACTCTCACCGGAGTTAATGGAAATGGTGCGAGAGCACTTTAACACCGGTGGTGATTCATTGCTTATGGGAATTGAAGAGGCTAAAGAGCATAGACTCAAACTGATGGAGGAACGCGGCTCTTTTGTGAGAGCGGCTGGAGAGGAATGGCATAATTCAGGTTATAATTTCTGCGAGCATTGAGTTTGGTCGTCAATCTTCCGATATGACGATCCGGGAGAAATCATTTTGCTTCACTTGACATCCGCATGTCATAGCTCAGTGATTAGGTGTCGAGAGGCAGGTCGTAATGAAAGGTGTGGATCGGGTTGAAACAAGACCTTCGGCTCTTTGATTTGGAGTCCGATTTCCTTGGTTAGTTATGAAGATTTGGCGGGTTGTCGAAAACTTTCCAAACTTCTTGATAGTGTGAAATTTTATTCTAACGAGTACGCATTTAATTCCAATTGATAACAGTGTTCACATGCACACACCACTTCAGTGTCGGGACCTACATGTGTAATGTTTGATATGAGTGTTTACTTTCGTTTTCCACTATCTTGAAAAAACGCCTCGATACGTTGATTGTTGAACCCTGCTGGGTATCTTTGAAAAGTTATTATATTCATCAATCTCGATTCTGCTACTACTTCCCGAGGGAGAAAAGAAAGACGCTCGGTGAAAAGATTTTGAACGCTTCCCCTGTTCGTTCGCTGGAGCAATACAAGAATATGATGACACTCAAAATGCGGCGCACTCCTAGACAATTGCACCATAAAATATCACTGGTGGGCTTTATGTGTAATATTATGAGAGGCGTGGATGATGATATTTCCCTCAAAGCTTGAAAGGTAGTGGAGGTTGAGAAGGTGGACTGGGGACAGGGAATAGAGTGAGGTGAGCAGGACTACAGATGCTTCTGGTGACGTTAATAATCGCTTTTTATAGTTTGGTTGACCCTTGAATGCTCAGAGACTTAGTAGGATTCAATGCACCGGTGTCAAGAATGGTCGAAGTCAATATCACTCTTCCACTCTTCATACGTACTTCAGTATAAATCCAATATTTCCTACCTCCTTTCCTCTCCCCCTTAAGTATTGCTGTTGGAAGCCCCTACGCAGGTGATCAGGAGACCTTGATCTCCAAGAATCAACCTTATGCTCTTTTGAGAAATATTCTCACATATGCTTGCGGAATAATGTGACCAGAAATATTTCAAGGGACGTGTATCTGAAAACTTTGAATCTGATAGTGGGAGGTATATGGCAGTGTTTTAATTAGCATATAATAATATTATTGTGGCTGATATACTAGTATATATAATAGTTAATAATATTCATATTCATATATATTATATAAAAGGGATTATATTGAAGATATATTAAAATATAGGAATTTATATATTTCTATTTGAATATTATATATGTTAGAGTGGGTGCAAGGTGACGACTAGTATGAATATAGGTGTAGGCCTAGAATAAGACTTTTTATTGATTTCTTTAAAACCTCTTTTTGAAGCTATATATATATGAAAATTCTTTAGTATTAGAATAATATCAGCTTGATACTGATTCTATATTGATGTTTGTAATAGAGCTTTCTTTCTTAGGCTTTTGTTTTTAAAAGCTTTTCAAAATTATTTAATAAATAATCGCTATTATATTAATATATTTTCGAAATCTTGTTAAATCCTATAGTAAGAGTTAATTATATAATACCTATATTTTCATTTTATAAGATTCAGCTTTTTTATAGTTTTTGAAAAGAGTTATATTGTAATATAAAAATACTAGAAATAATTTAATCTATAATTCAAAATTTGAAATTCTTAAAATTTTCGAAAAATTCGAAAGAAAGAAATCGATTTGATAGAATAGTAATTTGTATTTGATAAGGTTTTGCTTTTCTTTTTTTAGCTTTCAATTTTGAAAGCTTATTTATTCTGAAAGTATATAAAATTTATAATATTAGAATTTTGATAGTATTTCGTTATTGTATAGTATTCGAAATTCTGAAAATTCTAAAAATAATGAGAATTCGGAATATTATAAAGAACTTGAAAATTCAGAAAATTTAGAAAATCCGAAAAATCTTGAAATGATAGAGTTCTATTAGTTTTCTATTAGATTTCCAAAAATCTATAAAATCTATAAAATTAGAATTCAATAATAATTTGTTAATATATAATATTCAAAAATCTAGAAATTCTAAAAAAATAATAGAATTTTGTAAATTAGTTGAACAAATATATTTAAAATCTGAAATCCTGAAAATCCTGAAAATAATTGAAAAATGCGGAGTTTTATTAGTTTTTTATTGGGTTTTTGAAATCTGAGGGAAATCCTTGTGTGTACAAGGGTATTCACTTCAAAGGAATGACTTCAAAGGAATGACTTCAATACAATAGCTATTGTATCAAAGGGATTAAGCGAATACAAAAGAGACTAGCTCTTTCAGTAGTGTCTATATAAGGCCTACTACTTTCCTACATAGCTAGCTCTTTAGATAGAATACAATTAGACATATAGGACCTACAAATACGTGGGTGCTACGTCTTCCGTACCCTTCTCGAACCAACAATCCTAAAAATAACTGAAAAATACAGAGCTTCATTAGTTTTCTATTGAGTTTTCAAAATCTAAGAGAAATCCTGAAAATCCTAAAAATAGCCTAAAAATGACCTGAAATCCTGGAAATAGTTTATTTGCATCTATTATAAAATAGATAATTTTAGTAAATACTATTTTGTCTTTAGTTAGGTATAAGTTACTCAATATAATATTAATTATTTATAATTAGCTTCAATTAATAAATCTGATTATTTATAGAATAACTAATTAGATCTTTTCCTATATAAAAAACTTCTAAGATATTATAAAGAGACTCTATTTTTCTAATAAGATTTATAAAATAATAAAAGTATTACTAATATCTCATAGATATTATTTAAAATAAAGTTCGCTTTTTTAAAAACCCCTTTTCTTTTTTCCTATTTTCTTTTTCTTTTTCTTTTTATTTAATTATTCTATTTCATTTTAAAAAAATATAAAAAATATATTACAAAAATACTTTATAAATATTCTAAAGAATTTATAAAAATAATCAAATATAATAACATTATTAATTTTTATATATAAATTATCAATATAATAAAAATACTAACTTTTAAGATATATTAAATACTTCTTAATAAAATTATTAATTCAGTTTTTTCCCATCTTTCTATTTAGAATCTCTTCTATAAGATTTCTAATTATATAGTTTATAAAAAGGATAGATCTTTATATCAATTTATTAATTTAATTAATTAAAATCTTCTCCTGATTATTAAAAAGTATTTATTTTATATTGAAAAGGAATTATTTTCTTGAGATAGTTTTATTTTTATATTATTAGAAGAATATAGATTAATCAATTTTAAAGAAATTAGTTGTTTAAATGTATTTAGAAGTTTGAATTTCTTTTAAATAATTTAATATAAGCTTTATACAAGCTTCTAAAGGTATATCATCAATATTTAAAGCTATAATATTGATATTTTCAAAGTTGTGCACATAGTAGGGACATGCATATAGTGGGGAAATCGGTTAATGCGGGGTGAGCAGATGGAAGACTTGCATAGATGGGGGTGGACGGGGGAGGGGCGGGCTCTTACTCGGATATTTTCGAATTTCAGAGGTGCGACTGCACTGGCATAGATAGCTTATCATTTTAGTATCACTACAACTAATTCTAACTTGTATTCTGAAGATCCTTCAATTGAGTAAGTCAAAGTGCCAAAAACACATAGTCAAGGTCTCTTGCAATTGCATTCCTGTACAAGCCGCTTACTTCCAAATAGCCAACAGCGACATGTTATCTACAAAAGAACTATATCATCCACTGAAAGATGGTGAGATCAGAGTTCTTGGAATAGAGCCAGGCACTTTCGATGAACCTATTCATTGCACTTTATCTCCATGTTTACTTGATGATAACCCTAAATATCAAGCACTTTCCTATACTTGGGGAGATCCATCGATTCGTGCTCCGATCACAGTCGATGGCCATGTACTCATGGCGACCACAAATTTAGAAAGTGCATTGAGATATCTTCGGGTTCCCAAAATTACTCACGTCCTATGGGTCGACGCGATCTGTATTAACCAGGAAGATATTCCCGAGCGGGGTATGCAGGTACAACAGATGCGTCACATTTATAAGGATGCGAAAGATGTGTTAATATGGCTCGGTCCACCGGAGCTTTCAACTAGAGGATTGAGGGATGATGAGGATCCTCATGTAGAAACTGAGAGTACTATTCCTAGCACTTCGAACCACTTTAAAGCCTTGAAGTTACTTGCTAGTTGGTTTCAAAGCGTCGAGCGTGGTGAAACAAAATGTCCTCACCTAGATTTTGAGAACAAAGATAAATGGCGAGAAGCATTGCAATGCGAGTTTTGGAAACCATTGAAGAATCCCTATTGGACCAGATTATGGATTATCCAAGAAGTTGCTCTAGCTAAGAATCCCATTGTTCATTGTGGCTCACATTCAATCTCCTTTGATGATTTGATTTTTGGCATTCGTTATGCTTCGTCTTGTGGAACTCATTATGCTGTGGCAAGTGGTGAAGACCACTGGTTGGATGAATATTCATATGGTATTGTCGGGATATCGATCATGTGATCAAAAAGGGCACTGTATTAGCTAGCGTCACGCTAGTGCTACCCTATATTAAGTACTAGCTTCCTATAGATAATAATAATCAAGAACGAATACAATCATAATAGATTAAAGTATTTTATACTTATATTAACTAAGTTAATACTAATATTAATTAATAATATTACAAATTAGGATCTTAGATTCTATTATAAAGTATTAGGTGTTTTATATAATATTTAGAATTAATAGAAATTCTGAAGAGATTATAAAGAAGATATTATTGTATTTAGTATAGTATATTATTTATTATTATAATATTAAAAAGTATGCTCCGAATAATTATATTAGGAAAATATATTCAAGAAGATTATTTTTGTGAAGTATAACAAATCGATTTTGTATTCATTATATATTCATTTTTGTACTATATATTATATTAGGTGAAACAATAATTTTTATTATTATATATTTATAAAACACTTTTTTATATATAATTATATTTATAATAATTTTCGAAATATCTTTATATATATATTCTATTATATTGGATAATAATAATATTGTAATTGTTATTAAGAATATTATTAATAAGGATATATATATAGAGAAAAAAGAAAAAGAATGTGAAGAATAGTTAAATTTAGTTAAAGAATAGTAAGATATTAATGAATCTATTGTATTCGATGTTAAGGTGTTTATCAAGTATATTAGATTCAAATGTAAATAGTATGATTATGAGAATATCAATAATAATAATTTAATAGAAATCTTTTATAATGATTTCAAGATATTCAATATTGTATATTTTTTGAAAATCTATTAAATTAATATATGAAAATTGTATTAGATATTATGTATATAAGGAGTATATATTCCAAAGATATATATTAAGGTATTTATAGTATTATATAAATAATTCTATAAATTTATTATTGATATATAAACAAAAGAATAAATTTAAGAGGTATTAAAAAATATTAATATTAAGGAATTTAAATTTCAATTCGGAATTATTTATAATTTTATTAAAAACAATTTTAATTATAAGAAAAAAGATAATAAAGATAGTGATTTATATAATAAAAAAAAGGATCCTAATAATAGTAGAGATAATAATAATAATATAAGTTATAGAGACAATAAATCACTATGGGATAAGAGATTATTGAAGTATTCTAATATATAATCTTTTATTAATTTATCAAAATTCTATATTAATAAAAAAAAATATAATAAAAATAACAATAATTTCGATTTCAAACTCTCAATATTCTATGAAATTATATAATATATAAAAATATTAATAAATATATAATATAAGATATTCTTTATTATATTTAAAGATAATATATTTGAATTCTTTTATATTAATTATAAGTTATTATTATTTATTTTTAAAGAATTATGTATTTATATACAGAATAATTTTAAGAAAAACAAATATCAATATAATATACTATTTAAATAAAATAATATCATTTTCAAATCAATTAAAAAGAAGAATAAAAACAAATCACTCAGCAAGTATCTTATTATTATAATCAAATAACTATGTATACTATAATATTGATTTGATTTTATTATATAACAAATATTCTATTTATATAATAAACTTATACTTATATATAAGAATATAGAAATATATAATCTAATTTGTTTTGATTTTAAGAAAGAGATATCTGATTTGATTAATCAATTATAATAATTTATTAATATATGGAAAAGATTATATAAAAATAAAAAAGATATAATATTATTTATTGATAAAAGATTTTGTAATAATAATAATAATAATTAGAATAATTCTAGGGATTTCAGAAATAATAATTTTAGAAATAATTTTTATAATAAATCACAATATTCCAATTTCTTAAATTAATATAATTAATATTAGATATACAAGAAAGAAGAATATTAATCCATAAAGTATTTTAAGGAGAAATAAGATAAATAGAGATATAAATATAGGGAGAAGATTAAGAATAGTAATAATAATATATTTAATAAGCACTATAACCAATAAATAATTGAATATAAAGAAAAAGTTATTAATACAGAATCTAATTCAGAAATCAAAATGGGTCTGTTTTTCACAGATCTTGATATCAAAAATAATATGAACAAAACATTTTTTATAAGTTTCGAGTCTATTAATAGTTAGGAAGTATTTAATCAATTATTAATCAATATATTATTATATATAATAACTAAAGGCCTTATTAAAACTATTCTATTAATAGAGAGCATAATGAATATCTTTTATATAAGCTATATAAACAAAGAATTCTTTGGTATATATATTTATATAATATATACAAGAAAATCTATAATTAGAATTGAATAATATTATATATAAAAGTAAATTTGTCTAATTATATATAATCTATAAATAATAGATATTATGAATATATATTTTGGAAAGGGAATTATAATATTGATAGAATCATTCTGTATTATTATATTATTTGGAGATATTGATTTTTATATTATAAATATCGATATTCTATTTTTATTAAGCTTTGAGGATATAGATTATCTTAAAGTGTTTTATAATAATATCACTAATCAGTTTATTATTCCAAATAATTAATATTCTATTATTAGAAGATATGGGCATATATTTTTAATATAGAAAATAAATATAAATCAATTTATTTAAAAGTTAATCTATTAGAATAATTATTATTTAATTATTATTGAATTATAATATCTATATTAATAATTTGACTATCTATTAGCATAATACTTTTATTAAATATTACAATAAACAGATTATAACAAAAATAATAATTTTATTAAATATTTTATTAAATATTATAAACACTATTAAATATATAATAAATCATCTGAATATTTTAGATTTATTTTATTAAAGAATATTGATTTTAATTATACTATATTTATCGATATTATATATATTACAGATAAATTAGTTTTACATATTGTTAATAAAATAATACATTATTAAGCAATTTGATTCCTTAATAATATATCCACTAAATATATATTTGATATACTTAGGGAATACTGAATTGATATATATATTGGATTATTAAATTATATTATTTATAATATAGAAAAGAACTTTATAAATAAAAAGTTTATTCAAAATATTAAGTCTATATCAATTATTACTAAAAATATATTAATTGAGGGATACAACTTTATAAATATTATAAAGAAATATTATTATTTTTTATATTATATATACAAGATTTTAATTAAAAAGTTTAAGAATAACAATTTAATTAAAATAATAATTCTATAAATAATAATAAAGATTATAAACAATATAGCAGAATCAAATAGATTTATTCCTATATTTCTAATTTATAAAATATATCCCAAATTGAATAATATTAATTTATTAGTTATAATAATCATTTAATATATAAAAGCTATAAAGAAAGCTATAATAGAAATATATTATATTTATATTAAAAAATAGATTATAAAGATATTAAAATTAAAAAACGGATTATTTATAATATTAATTTTTACTCTATCTTTGAACTTAAAGGTTTTGATATAGAAAAAGAATAAAAGAGATAATATATCAAATAAATAAATTAAATTACATTCCCTAATTAGAATAAATAGGGAGATATATAAAATAAAGCTTTTTAATAAATTAATTAAATTCTGTTTTATATTTATATAATTCTTTTATATAGAATTAAAAGAAATTGAATAAAACAATGGAATACAAATAATAACAATAATGATATTATAATAATTGATATATTATGAATAGAGATATTATAATCTTAAATATTATTATTAGTAATATAATTAGATATACAATTATATTGCTATATAAGAAGTAATTTGATTAATATAATCAATATAATAGATATTAATATTAATTTATTATAATTAACTATATTCTTATAAAAAGATATATTTACAAAATATATAGAATTATAATATAAGGAAATTAATAGATTAATAGAAAGTAGAGTCTTTAGAATTATTTTAAAAATTAGTATTCTATTTGGAATAAGATTATTCAAATTATAATTTATTAATAAAATAAAGAATAAAGATATTAATAAAGTATATACTAAATTACAATTAATAATTCAAATATATCAAAATAAGAGTAAAATCATTATTTGATATAATTATTAATTATTCAATATATCAATTAGTATATTGTTTTTGTATTTACTATTATTTTATAAATATTAAATAAGTATATTCAAATTTATTTATAAGATATTATATAGATATATATTTAATCAATTACAATATTAAATAGATCAATTTATATAAAAATATTGAAAAAGGTTGAATTCAAAGATGAATATATTCTATATATTATTAAATCCTTATATAATATTTCTAAAACAAAAAATTATTAATTTGGAATTTATTACAATTATTATAGGGATAAGCTAAATATAATATAATCTATATACAATTCCTATTTACTTTATTCTAATAATAATATTAGTATTATAGGATTCTAAACAAATAATATTTTTATAATTACAAATAAGAGATTTATATATTTAGAACAAAAATAATTGAATAAAACTTATTTTATAACTAAAAACAGAAAGCAATTTATCAAGAATTATTTATTCAAATTTAATAATAGTTTGATTATTCTTAAAATTAATAAAATCTATTTGAATTAGGAGAAATAATATAATAATATCAAAATGATTATATCAGGAAATATTGATATACATAATATAAAAGGAAAAATTTGAAAAAGTATTATTTTAAAGAATCAATATATTACTCAATATATAAAAGAAATATATATTACAATTATATATCAACTAAAGGTATTATATCATCTTTCTATTATTACCCAGATAATAAATTCAAAAAAGAAAAATATAATTAAATTTAATAAAATCATTAAATAGTAAATAAATAATTCAATAAAAAAACTTATATTTATATTTTTAGATATGGATTTAATTCAATTAATTGTATTTATAGATATATTCTTTACTAATAATATTGATTTATTATTATAAATTAATTATATTATTTGTTTAATAAATAAATACAATAATGCTAATATTATTCACTAGATATTAATCAAATATAAAAGAATTATTAGGAATATACTAATTTTTAAACTATATATACTAATTTTAGATTTTAATATCAATATAGCTATTAAAAATATTATTAATATTATTCTCGAGTTTAAAAAGTTAATATCACTTATACTCTATATAAACTCAAAGTTTCTATATAATCTATTAATTAAACTTGATATAAGTATAGAAAAATAGTTTTTAATTGATATTATAACTTTAAGATAATATTATAAAAATAGGAAGATTATAGAGATTAAATAAATTAATAAGAAATTAAATTCTATAAATATTATAATCAAAAATAGTATATATTAAGTATTAAAGGATTTAATTGATATTAATAAAATAATTATTAAAATAATGTATTAGATAGAAAAAGAATAGGGAAATAAAAACTAAAAGAAATTAAGAGAATATTATATTTAAAGAAATAGATTATAGACTAAAATATATAATTATATTTATTTTTAAAGAATTGCTAATATTAGGATATCGATTATATAATCAAAAAGGGCATTGTATTAATTAGTATTACATTAATACTATTTTATATTAAGTATTAGCTTTTTATAGATAATAATGATCAAGAATGAATACAACTATAATAGACTAAAGTACTTTACACTTATATCAACCAAGTTGATACCAACAGGTATCAAGAGACTCGTCCATTCTAGAGTCAACGCTGCTACAAATAAGTCACTTTTACTCAGTGACATTCTCGAAATAATTGGCCCTCATATCTTAGTCACAGATCCTCGCGACAGAATCTATGGGCTGCTCGGACTTGCAGCCAGCTGCGATATCATACCAGACTACACATTATCGAAAACTCAGGTCTACACTCAAGCTGCGAAGCACCTCCTTAGTAGTGGCAATTTTAATTATCTGGGCGTCTTCAGCGGAGGGGAAGATAGCTCCAGCAATAATTCACAGTCCTGGGCCACAGATTTTGACATCATAGCAAAGCATTCTTTCGGGGTTAGGCCACTTACAATATACGACAACGATGTATGTTGTTACAAAGCTGCGACCGATCTGACCCCAGATTTGAGATTTCATGACAATGATCGTGTTATGAGCGTCAGAGGTGTGCTAGTAGGTGATGTCGACACATGCGGTCAAGTTATGGACGCAGATATGCACTCGCATTTCGAAATTCTAAGTCAGTGGGAAGATATTATGGTACGAAGATTCCGATGCGATCACCTAGCCACATCTGCATCAGCCAACTCTGGTACAATAATGGACGTGTGGGATTCCTGGAAGACAAGAATCTGCAGCGCGAATGTCTCATGGCATGAGAATTGGGGACCGATCAGCGATAAAACTTTAGGTGGATGGAGTGAGGGAACCATAGAGACAGATGATTGGAAAACTTCTATTTCAAATTTATGACAATCGAGAGGATCAATGAAGCACCAAGAATCTTACGTGGCAGGGGGTACTTTGACCGAAGCATATTGTCGCACCTTGCTAATGAATAAGATTCTATCCGAGTCAGATACCCTTGAAAGGTTCTACGACGATCATGTTCCCGTACGGGATGAAGACATGTGCAGGCCAACACCAACAGAATTCAAACGAACATCTATGCTTCGTGAAAGCAGAATGTTCGACAAGTATCTCAAAGAAGTGACCAAAAACCGAAGGCTCTTTGTCACTTCAAAAGGATATATTGGGTTGGGCCACCAACGGGCAGAGAAGGGTGATAGACTGTGCATTTTTAATGGATCACCTGTGCCTTATATTTTGAGACAACATGGTGATTATTGGATTTTGGTTGGCCAATGTTACGCACATGGTCTTGTGACAGGAGAGATTGGAGAAGCTTTGGAGCGTGGGGAAGCGACCTCCCAAATATTTGAGATTAGATGATTTAAAATTGATAGAGATTGTTTTTGGTAGATTGCAAACATGCCATCTTTACACTACGCCATCGAGTGGCGAATCTACATGCATATCCAATTTCGCGTCTCTTCTACGTTGACTTCTCCTCTTAGTGATCGACCTCCATTCAGTCCTTAATCGCTCCGCTTTGCAAGTGTATGAGACTACTACCAATTCCTCCAAATGGCAATAAACACCAATCAAGATTGATAGGGAATGTTTCTAGTAAAAGCGAATCAAAAAAATCTACTGCCAAAATGCGATATTTTTGGCCCACTGACAGCGATTATAAATCCTCAATGCTGTTGATAGGGTCTACGAAGAATCCTCATGACGACTGCCACTTCACACGGAGCCTTGAATGGTTCACAGGACTCGCAGCTCAATTATGAAAAGATTTTTCCTAATTTGATCCGTATAAACAAGGCATATTTTCTCGTAACGTGCCCAGCATGTGAGGCACTATAGCACAGGTATTTGTAGATAATATACAGAGAAATGAATAGCAAAGTGATTGGTTTTGTATCTCGATCGTAATCTCGACGGAGCAGTAAGATTCCATCAAAATTCAATCACACAACTGAAGACTGACGTTAAAGCTATCTTGCGCTTTCCTTGAATCTGGGAATCCGAGAATTCGGTACTCAATACAATACAGATACTTGGGATAAATCGATTTTGTGATTATATTTTTACTGTCATCCTTAACGAGATCCTAGCAATCGATCTCGCCTCCGTCGTTTTGACTCTTTTTTTTGCTAACCAACAATATTAGACTCATCTGTCGTGCCGTAGCAAAAACCAATCTAGAGTGACCATCCAAAAGTACATAACAAATTGCGGCATCCGGGATCGGGTCAAATTTCCTGTACTGTCTGATTCAAAGTCTTTTGACCACTGAATTCATAAGACTTACTGTTTCAAAACTCAACTTAAATAGCAATCAGTCTAGACACTAGAAAATGATTATCGAGCGCTTCTTAGTTCAAGATCAAACCGTGACTCGTTTTTTTGTTTCTGATTTCGTATATGAAGTATGTAAATCACCTGTATAATTAATCATTCCCACAACACCAACGCATAATACTGCAGTATCATCACCAAAAGGGCAAATATACTGAGTCCCAATATCCAACTGGAATTGTGGTACATTGAGTATTTCATACAAAACCCATATCCCATCAATCTTCACACCAAGAAACCCTGAGGATTTTAGGGCTTATGAAGCTCTTGCCGTCATATGTATCTGCTACTACCGTCTCCATTCCCATTCATCACTATCTAGGAAGGTGTTCGCATTTTCACCGTATACCAGTATTGTAATTAGTATTTTCTGTATTTTGGATACGCCGCACTTCAGTGATGCGTATTGAATTTTTGAAATATATTTCAATAATTATTAATAGATTGAATATCACTGATAGTTTTCAATATAATTTTCAATATAAGTAGAATATTGAATATTACTAGTAGTATTCTGAAATATGAAAATTTGTATATTTTTATTTGAATATTGTATATTTTGAATGAGTTTAAGTCTAATATAAAAAGAGACTCTTTAAAATATATAATATTAAATTGAAATATATTGTTACGGGCATTGATATGAAACCGGCATCGGGCTGATATCATTTCGATACTAAAGAATTTTTATATATATATAGTTTCAAAAAGAGGTTTTAAAGGAATCAATAAAAAGTCTTATTCTAAATCTATATTTATATTTATATTAATTATTATCTTGTATTCATTTTGTTGAAATAAGTTATAGTGGGGAATGAATTAATTGAATTTAGGGTATAGTTCATTGTATTATAGTTTAACTGAAATGAGAGCTAGAATATAGTTATACTCTCTATAAGATGTAATCACCTTATAATTAATACTAATATTAATTAGACTATAGTACTAATATTATAAAAACTAACTACTTTCAATATACCTCTTAATTATTAATATAAGTGATATTTGATTTCATTTTAAACTCTTAAAAGATATATATAATTTCCTTTTTGTATTATATATATTTTGCCCATTTGATTTTATAAATATTTCTTATTATATATTCCTCTTTTTTATCCTAATATATATTATTATTATTAATATATATATCCTGGATAATTAACATATAGATTAACCCATTTTAAATTCTGTTTATATATAATATTTCAACAAATCTTACATATTTGATTAATAAAAATGATTTTATAAGTTTATTAATTATTTATTGATTAATTAATATAAATCATAAATTTATATAATTTTAAGCTATTTGTTTATAGATATAATAATATCTCATTATTATATATTTAATTCATTAATAAATTTCTAGATTCTCAATAAATACTAAACTATTCTGATTATTATTAATAATCTTGATTTTCTTGGCTTCTAGATATTTGTAGTTTAATTTAGCTAATTCCCTAAGAAACTATTTAATTTATAATATTTCTATAGCAACTTTACATAATTTATAATACTTTGATTTAATAGAGCTCAAAGTTATAATTGATTATCTCTTTAATTATATAAAAAAAACATATCTAGATATACTCCTATTAATAAAGAGATCTTTAGTATAATTGGAATTTATATATTCCTCAATATTGTAATTATTTATGCTATTATTATCGATAATAATATAATCAATTATATTAATCAGATATTTAAAAATATAATTATTGTATTTATATAAATTGGAAAAGGATTAATAAGAAAATAATATAAAATACTTATATTATATATAATATCAGAATAAATATAAAGAGAATTGATTAATTCAATTTTGGATTAATATAAAACTACAAATTATATATTTATAATTTCTTTAAATAAAATTATATCTTTAATTGTATCAATTAATATTAGAATTGATTTAGTTTTGTAGTATTCAAAGCCAAATTTTCGAGAAATCTTTTAAATATAAATGTTTTAGTATAATATAATAATTTTGATTATTAGATTTTAATTAATTTTAATATTAAGAAAATAGGAAATCAATTCTAAGTTTTCTATTTTGAATTTATTAATAAAATTCTTTTTGAGTATTATATATTTATTATTTTTATTTATAATAACAAAATTACTAATATATATAATAATAATAATCCTAATAATTTTATTAAAATAAATATAATTATTGATTTTTATTGAATTAAAATCTAATTTGAAAAGAGTATATTTTAAAATCTCTTACTATTAGTATAAAGCTTATTTTAAACTATAAAAAGCTTTAATTAATTGATTAATTCAAATAATTCTATTAGAGTTTTCTTCTAATTATTTATAAATTATACTGTCTTACTTTTAATAAGGAAATAGCTTAATATATATAGATAAATTATTAAATATCTTAGTATTTAGAAATAACATAACATATGGGGAACTCGGACATATGGGGAACTCGAACACTTTTTCAATTATTCTATACGCGATCTTGTTTTACAAGCTATATAATCCTCTAATTCCAATTCCAAATCACTTGAACTATTTTTTAGCTCTTTTTTTTTAATTTTTTCTTTTAATTCTTTAATTAAGTATTTGTATAGCTATCCTTATAACTTTTTCTTTTTTAATTTTTTCTTTATCTTATATATTATTTTTAATATTTTCTTAATATTAAAAACAAATTGATTTTGTAATTTGATTTTTTTATCTTTAATTCTTTTCTTTCAAATCTCAATTATCTTTTAAATATTAGAAAGCTATTTCCGAAATAGAATTATTTTAATATTTTGAGATTCTATAAGTTTAATTATTTTTTTAATATATTAATAAATTAGTGATATAAAAGAATTATTATTTATTAAAGTTATATTAAAGATCTGATTTACTTATTTTAATTTTATTTCATTTGAAAAAGAATTTCTAAATATAAATAAATCTAGATTTTAATTAGAGATTCTTATTTATAAAATAAAAAATTATTAAAAGGAATTAAATAGTAATAAATCAAATACTTTTTATAAGGCAAAAGGTATCAAATTAGCTTTTTTTTAATTAGTTTTAATATTAAAAGAATTTAATACTTTTTTTCTAATATTTTGAAAGAGTTTTATTTATTCAATTCTTTGAATTCGTTTTATATTAGCTTAAGAATATTAATCAATTTCTAAAGTATAATATTATTTTATTAATTTATATATTATAATATCAAATAATTAAAGTAAATAAAAATAATAAGAAAATAATATAAATAAATCAATATTATTATTTATATAAAAAATAATAAAGCTATTTGTAATATAATTTAAATAGCTATTTATAATTAAAAGTCAAGATTAATCACTTAATACTTTCTTAGATTTTAATTCGAAAATCCTTTTTAATTATTCTAATCCATAATTATTTGAAATTTATTTATTTATATTAATAAAAAACTATTAGTTTTAAAATATATTCTTTAGAATTCATATAAAATTTGTATTTTGAGCCTTAAAAATGATTATAGATAATAAAATATTTCTAATTATATTAATATATTCAAATATAATTATTTATTCTTATTTATTAGCTATAACTTTTCAATTTGATTTCTAAATAGAATTAATTATTATATAAGTATTTTGAATACTTCCAACTCCAAATTTGGTTTTATTTATATTATATATATTATCTAATTTATACTTTTATTTAATAAAATATATACAAAATATATCAAATTAAATCTCAATATTTTCTAGAGTTGCTTTTTTAGCTTGATTAGATTTTAATTAATATAAATAATATATTTTAAATTCTAAATATTGTTTTTGGAATTTATAGATTTATTTATAATCTATAAATAGAATTTCTATTGAGATAGGATTTCGAAATAATATAATCTGAATATATTAAAAATGAATTTCATTAGTTATTTTCTTTATTAATATAAATATAATAGAGAATCTAATAATAATAAATTATGAAATCCATTATACAAGAGTATTTTCTTTTATATTTGAAAGAATTTGAACTATTTTGTAGATTTGAGAATATATTTTCTTTTT